TACTCTCTTTGTGAACAGAAGTATTTTTTCCCAACTTTTTCATCCAAAGAAACACTTGACCCCCTTGCATTTCTTCTGATGTTGTATAAGGATTTCTTTTCGACATGTTTTAGATAGTTTAAGGCATCCCCAATGCTTACCTAGTGACTTGGAAGATTGTTGAATCTGTAAAATTTCAAAGAGAATTATGGGAGTTATTCCTGCTTTTCCTCTTTTTTATTTTGTTGGAGGGCAGACTTCCTATTTTTATTGTTTGGAACGGAGGCGGATAAGGAGACATGCAGTTAAAGATTTCACTTGTATCACTGTTATTTTGTCACCTAGCTTCTGTTATTTATATGTCATTCAGTCAAGCAATTTTATTTGTCTCCAAGACTACATTTGGTCTCCAATAAGATGAATGTGTGTGTATTGTCCGCAAACACATTAGGTCTAGATTTCTCTATGGAACCCTCTGTTTAGATTTGTTATGGAAAGAAAAAATAAATGTTTATATGATACAGAAGGCGGACAGAAGATTGTCTGTGGTTAGATTTTTGTGCGCACACCTCATGAAAGCTGCAGCATTGAGAAACAGCAAGTATGATTTAAATGTTATAGATAAAACTGTTTAACCCCATGAAACCAATTTTTCATTATTCTCGCTTAATTACAAATATGTACCGACTGTGTATATTTTCAGGTTAATAATATTTAAAAGCAGGTCTTGATCCTCTGTTAGCTAGTAATATTCCAGAAAGCTAGATTATATGCCAAGTCTCCATCAACTGCCGGTCTCCAATATATGCTTGAGTTACAGACAAATGCTATTTATAAACATAAGGCAGGTTACATGGCGTTATTTTCCTATTTAAAAAAGCTACTTTAAAATTCAGATTCAAATTAAGTTTAGTAAAAAAAAGGCCCAAGTAAGAAATCAAATAGCCAATTCAGATCTTTTCATTCTTTGATTCTGTAGCTGATGATTTTTCAGAGATACAAAACATTAAGTCTGTAAAATAAGTGACAATAATACATGTTAGTGAATATGGAAATAAGAGGTATTGTACAAACACCTGGCAAATGGATTTAACAGCTCCTCTATCTGATCTTATTTCTGGCACAATTTAACTTCAGCCCTGTGGTCTGGTTTTAACATGTCCCTGGTGTCCCTGTCTTCCCTCTTTTTTTCTGAACGTACAACGGAAGAATTAAGAGAACATGTAATCGCTTTAAATACTACACATGCACATTTGGACATATTTAAATGGATGTTTGTGTGACATGTACAGTGTCAATTTTTTTAATTTAAAAGGATGTAAAATTCCCAAAGCATTTTATTAGTTTACTACTGTTTTGTTATGAAATTTACCTCAGTATCAAAATATCTGCAAGGCCATATAGAAAAGCAGAAGATTCTTCAGGGATGATGAAAGATACTCAGTATAATTTTAACTATAACCCTGGACAGCAGCTGCAGTTTCAGAAGAGCAAGTGTCCATTACAGTCTGTGAGCTTTAAGTATGTCTGGGCAGCTACCTGAGTGCTAATATATGCAGTAAAATCCTACATGCTTCAAACACAGTAGAAGTTATAACCCATCTCCTAGGAAAATTTTTCAAGATCCCATTACCAGAATAAAGAGCATAATAAATTACTGTAATAATGCAGGTCCACACGGAATACTGAACATATTGCAGGATATATCACATTTATGAAAAAATAGCAAAGAAAATGAATGGACATATAATTTACTCATTTATTGATTTTTACAGATGTACAGTATAAAACCTTACTTTTTCTGGTAAACTTTTACCAACTTAAAAAATCACGAGTGAACACTTCTCTAGATCAGATGATGCATCCTTAAATAACTTAAAACCATTACTTAAGGTGGTGAGACGTAAGCACATTTATATTTCACATGCTAGCAAATACAGTATGTCGATTTTAATCGCTGGTAAAATGTGAAGCAATTTCTTCAAAATTACAGTTTTGTCACAATAAACAATAAAAAAATAGTTTATCTTAAATTTGTTTCACAAATTTCCACATTATTCCTTTTTATTTCCATGGCTTCCTTTCAGCACCAACTCCAAAACTCATTTAATGTTATTTAACAAGTCTAATTCTCTTGAGAAGAGGGAGCATCTCTCTCTAAACTCACCATCCAATTTCCCACAGAGGGCAGAGTTTTGGGTGGTGGTCAAGCGCTGCCGGACTGAAAGCTCTATAGAAATATGAAATGTCTGTCCATGACCACCTACTGTACTCAACTCTACTCTTCACCCAGACATTTGCCATCACATACTGTACCTATGAGCTATTGCTACACCCTTCTGGCAGGACGGCCTGCATGTACCAGCGGCTGACTCCAGCTCATACAGAAAATTGCAGCAGGCCAGTACCTCATGTTTCACCTCCCTCTTTGTCTCTCTGCATTGACTTTCGTTCACACCTGCACCAGATGAAAACACTGTAAAGGGCTTTCAAGGGATCTCTAACAGCCAACCTCCACTGTCAGACTGTGTTCCCACTAGGGCACTACAATCTAGTTTCTCAGGCTGACTGGCAATGCCATCATTAAGGGACTGCAAGTCCTAGGCCCAGATGTTCTCTGAGGAGACCCCCCCTCCCATGCTAGAACATCCTACTTGCAACAGTCAGAACCATGGACTCATTCACCATCTTCCAGAAATCTCATCTCTGTGGTATGGAATCTCATCTCTTCTGCATAGACTTAATGCCAGAGGCCTGTGACTAACCATCACTGACTGTTGATGGTCTTCTGTTACATCTTCCTGTCAAGCAGCACTGAAAATCCTTAACATTCTGCAATATCCTAGCAGTCACATAATACTGCACTTGCTGTTTTGTTGTGGTTTTATTGTTATTTTATGCATCTTTCCATCTTAACCAGATGCTACTGTAGGTCACTTAGAAAAAAGCCTCTAATAATTGAATAAATGTATATGTGTTCCAGATGGTAATTTCATCCCAGGCTTTTCTCCTTGCTGCTTCACAGTCATGCCATATGAGGATAAAGGACATAAATCTAGGGATGGGGAGGTCTAGGCTTCATGACGATGGCCACTAATTAAGTTGCTGTGCCGTAGCAAATGCCTGGAGGACCACTACTGGCCACTGAATCAGGGTTCCACTTCTAACATGCATTGTGGCTTTATTTGGATACCCACACATCTGGGGGCTGTTTCACGAAACAGGTTTAACTAATTCAGGATTTTCTCAAGTTATCTGGATAGAATTAACCTGATAGCCGGCTTCAGGGTAACTGTGGTTTCATTAAGGCAAAGTCTGGTTTAAGCAACTCAGGTTTAAACAATCTGACTAACTGCGGGTTCACACGGACTTTAATTGTCAGGAGGGTCGAGCATCGAATCCTTCATCTGCACCAGTAAAAGTGTGGCAAATTGACGTGCATCTTATTTCAGTAACCATGGAGTACAGCTCCTTGTGGAATACTACAGCACAAAAGGAAAAATCTGTTCTGATGGCACGGAGCATACAGTAGCAGAAACAAAGTCTACAAATAAAGGCCTGCAGTGAGTACTCAGAGTTCAAACTACGAACTGAATACAGATCTTTTCACAGAAAGTAGAAAAGACACTTCAGCAATAAAGTAACAGAGGTTTAGAAGGATTACCACAAATTAGCCCTCTATATGGTTCTCATATCTCTGTGCTAAAATGTCAAAAACCACAATTCCCATGTGATACTTGACATCTTTATGACATTGAGCTGGCAGAAACAATATTTTCATCATGGATTCCACTGCTTGCTACAGTAAGTCACACCATAGCCTATAGGAAAGGTCGAGTGACATTAAATGATCCTCAGAAATCCACTCATGAGTTTTAAATGAAAATAAAGTCTGTTAATAAATGGTTTCAAGTTTATTTTTAAAGATGATATTTCATTTTTATATTAGAAGTTAGGAATTGGGTACAGATTTAACCTTTTTACAAAAAGGGTACCTATTTCATGCTCACAAATATGAGATGGAGCTGAACTCTAAAACAAAAGCACACATTTTTACAATCAGATTAGCAAAATGGGCTGCGCAGCTTGCTCTCAGCAACAGTCTCCTATTTCTTCTGCTTCCCTGCATAATACTGTCATCAGTTAAGAGCACATTTATGAGAGAATCTTTTCAGTAAGCAATCATTCCTGTCTTTCCAGTTCATAATGGAAGTAAGAGCCATCAGGGATATACAATCACCACATTCCTAAATTCAGAAGCAGATATGTCAATGAGAAAAATCAATATCCTCATAACTGTCTATTAATCTCATACATTTTTCTTCATCCAACATTTGCTTCTGATAAGGGCTGCAACAATTCAAAATCTATCCAAAAGGCATAAGGCACAAAGCAGGACTATAGAAGACAACTAAGATACACCATTTAACTGACTGGCATGTCTTTAGATGGAAGCACCAGGTGAAAACCCATATAAACATGCAAACTCCACCCAAATGGTATCTCGCTTGCCTCTTATGTTTAATGGTGTAAAAAATGTTTTACAATTCAGAAAAACCTGCAATGCTGCAGAAACCTTGCACAGTGTAAAACTAAAAATTTAAATTGTGTTTGCTGGACTATTTCCCCTTCCTATTAATTTGAGAAGAACAGCAAACGGCATTACATTATATGCAAATGTATAAAAGGAGTGTGAAAACAGGAAAAATGTCAGTAATATGACCCCGCCTTTAATCTGGAAACATCCCAATCTCAAACAATCCCCCCTTCCCATCCACTAAAAACCATATTCAACAACAAGACTGAGTTACTTGTTCCACATTTCTTTAACCAAAGGGTTAAGGGAGTATGGAACACGATACCCAGCCATGTCATTGAAGCTAATACTTTGGTTTCTTTCATGAAACCACTGGATATAGAACTTCGCTTCGACTAGCTGCTTAGCAAACAAATAGGGCCGAATGGCTCACTCTTAACTTTTTTTTTGTTCTTAAATACCAACCAAAGCTGTTGACTCATACCTTCTGACTGAGCTCCAAACCCTGCGAAGCCGCCGTCTGAAGGCAGAAAAGCTGACTCTCTAGTTGCTGAAGGACTGGCTTTCATTTTCTCCTCCTGCAAGGCAGCTGCTGCCACAGCCGCAAAAGCACTGGAGGCATTTAGCTGGGACCGGCCCTGCTGAGCCTGGGCCCGGCCCGATTGAGGCTGATGGGCTGGGGAGGGCGGGCCGCTGTCCATCTAGTCTGAAAGACAAAGGCAAATACAGACTAAATCCCCAGTTTTGTTTCCTTTGTACAGTGCTGAATGTCTCCACTCTCCATTCAAAACATACAGTATCTTGACACTTCTTGACTTTGACTCACTTCACTAACACTGCGATATTTATTAAGTGCTCTTGCTTCCAACACTTTATTACATCAGAGCTAAATTCGGTTTTCTCATCATCCATTTTCGAATGGCTTTATCCACTTCTGGGACGTGGGGGAGCTGAAGCCTTTCCTGGCAAGCGACATGTGCAAGGTAGGGTACATCCTGGGTGGGACACCAGTTCATAGCAGGGTCAATTTTCCCAGAAGCCAATTAACCTACCAGTATGTCTTTGGACTGTGGGAGGAAACGGGAGCACCCAAATGAAACCCACGCAAACATGGGGAGAACATACACACACCACATAGGTCTGGAATGAAACCCAGGGCCCCAGCACCGCGAGGCAGCAATGATAACATCTACAACTGGTTATACGTTCTTTTATTTGCTGATGTTAAATTCCTGCAACGCCCAATCACTTCAGAGGACTTGAAACTAAGCCTGAGACAGCTTGATACAAATACTGTATTCTCAACTAGCATCATGAAATGTCAAACAATGGAAGTGTATGTAACTTCAAACTTAGTGAAAAAGAAACATTTAAACCCAAAGTATGCTAAATTGCATGCATATATAAAAAGCATGAGAACGGAAGAGAATTTCTAGATGTATACGTTTGTGTACAAGTAGCGTCTTTTAAAAGCAACAAGCAATTATGTAAATGCCTTTATGTAAAGCACCTCAAATGCAATATTCTACATAACCACTCTCTTACATTCCATTTCACAATTTTCTGTTTTTGGTCTAACCATTTCTTGAAGAGACGCAAAACATACTAAAAGTGTTCTGCAAGATCAAAAGCTTATAATACTGTAGCAAAAGCAGACACAACTGTCTCTACATTTCTTTTCACAAATAACACTACTTGTGTTGGGTGTATTGAAACTCTTCATGTAGTATTACACAGGGAAATGTGACAAACATCGATTCATAAAATCCATGAGGATTAACTTCGACGCCGAGTACAATACACGTCTTATCTAAGGGGTCAAAACGCCTCATTAAATAAATAAATTGGAACATGAAGTTCAGTTAAAAACGAATTTTGTTTACCCTTACGTATTTTGGCCTATGAACGCCAATATCGTTACAATCCCACAATTTACCAAATTGCCGAAATACCTTAATTGCAGGTGCTCTTTGGCTCCTGTACAGAAAAGCTTGGGCTCAAGACAATCTTCTGTAATAACTATGACTGATAGGGGGAACGAGAACCAAGCAGGGCTCCAGCTATCATAATATAGACTCTATAAACATTAAAGGGGTATACAAATCTCTACAAACTGCTAACCTCCCGAAATAAGCAGAAGGCTCAATCTGCCAAAACGATTGCTGCATGCAAATCAAACCACAGCAGAAGGACCTGAACCTTTTGCTCGCTCGAATTGATCCCATTAAACCAATGAACGTTTATTAAACTACGAAACAAAATTATAACATTTTGCCACATGTCATGCTTGAAAACCATTTTACGACACGTCACACTTCCAGAACCAGTTGTATCCCGATGATCTGTATTGTAAATCAAAACCGAACGGCCCTTTAAACTCCCGGCAAACAAAGCACTGCTTCTCAGGTCGTTAGACTTTCTAGTTCCTTAGCCCATATACTTACTCGAGTAATCAAACTATGATTTATCTATAAATTATGCAGTTCTGTTCCGTTTTCTTTCTTTCAAATACTATTAAATGCCTTTTCCATATCGTCCGTCCATAACACCACTGACAGCCCCGTTATAGAAGCAAAGCGAGTAATGGGAATCCTCTCCACAGTGATTGGCTTAAACCCGCCCATTTTCTATTCTCTACTTTCTTATTGGTCGTTTTCCGAGAGGCGTCATTGATGTGCGCTGGTAATTGGCCCTGACTGCAGGAAGTGCTTTCTTATTCCAAAATAATCTAAGTTTTCATATCACTCGTTCTGCGTAAAATTCATGATTTAATTTTTCATAAGTATAACAAAGCATACACATATACTGACATTGTCTGTGTTCCTATTAATAACACAACACAGTGGAAAGAAACGCACCCACAAATATATAGGCTATAAAATGTGAATAATTACAACACAGTGTGGGTTGTCAAAACTTTCATAACTGCGTGCGTTGGGGCGGAAGAGACGTCAGACATCATATTGTCACTGACCTCTCGCAAGAGCCGCAACCTCAAAATACAGAGGAGCGCTGTCTCGCCAAGAAGTGTGTAGGCAGCCAGGTAACGGGTTATACTCCAGTGCTACTGCCACCTAGTCGGGGGGTGTGAATCGCCTTCATTGAGTAATTATTATATTCCTGTGACTTACATTGATTAGATACGGTAAATTGAGAAGTATTTAGCTTACATTTATTTAAACATAAACCCATTATCTCTCCGCTTTTCTAGTTTAAAACAATATACATAATAAAATACTTTCAGTGACATACTTATGTTATAAATTCATTATATATTGTAACGCAACGGGGGCTCAGGCGGGCGCCCTTGCCGCATTAGGTCGGCCCCCCACCGTCAGCCCAGTAGCTGTAGTCCTGCTATCACAGGGAAGGGCGGTGACGTCACCTGCTCTGGTACGCCGGCTCTTACACAGTACCTGTCGGCCGTAAGCGTTACAATATATAAGATGCATCAGGTCAGTCACAATCATGATGGAGTCATTCTGCATTATCTAGTTCGTCTGGGCCCTGGTCATAATTGATCAGAGAATATCACCCAACTGTTTCTTGAAAGAGGACAGAGAATCAGGTTCAGCAACATGGCTGGGTAGTTTATTCCAACTCCCACAACTCTTTGGGTAACTGAGTGACTGAGTAATTCCCATGACCCCATTACTCCGGGAGTTGTGGGAATGTGGAACAAGCTACCCAGCCATATTGTTAAGGCTTATACCCTGGCTTCTTTAAAATGTGGCTGGGGGCTTCGGAAAGTACCGAAGAAAATGAGTCACATTTTGTAGACTTTCTTGTACACACACCTATTATTTATGTTGTTTATCGTTATAAGTTGTCCTGAGACAAGATATCTTATCTTGGATATGCTGTTATCTATCCTTGAAGGTGTCGGAACATGATGTGCTTCAACTAGAGTTTTCCATGGAAAGCCTTTGCCTTCTGTATACTCACGTGGATACAGAATATCAGAGAGACCACAAATGAGTGGAGGTCATTTGATCCATCAAAATTGTTCCATTCCTCTAGTTCCATTCTTGTCCCTTGGATCGTGTTTGTTTTACTGTGAATTCTGCCTCTCCCGCAGCATGAAAATAGGCTCAAAACCTGCTGGAAAGGGGCCATTTTGGGGAATACAAACCTAACCTGCATGTCTTTAAAAGGTTTTAGGAAACTGGTACACCATGTAAAAAGCAATGCTAGCACAGGGAGAACATGCAAACCCCTCACAGAGTCATGCCCAAGCCATAATTGAACCCAGAAAAAATGATTTTGTACTATTATGTACTATACCAATGATTATTTGTGATATACAAATTTTAACGCAGCTGTAACCGATTATGCTTGTGCTGCGCACAAGGAACTTCGATTGCGCCCATCTCTGTGATTATAATCGACCTTTTCCAGACGTTCTCACCGTCTGCTAAAGCTGTCTGCGCAGACTGTGACGTCAGTCGCAGACGTGAGCCGCAACCTCGCAGGCGAAGAGGCCTCGTGAACGCGCTCAGTGCGGCACATTTCCAGAGCGCTGCACCGGACATAACTAATCGACCCTCTCTTAATTGTTAATCGTCGTTTTTACTTGGAGTAATGTTGTCATCGCAAATTCTGAATGTCTTTAAAGTATTTTATTCATTTTTTTCCAATTTTTGCATAATTATTTCATGGGCAATATGCAACACTCATACACATAAAAGCCAAATATTTTTTTACGTTTTGTGAATGAACCTTATACCCCATGTTTAGCAGATCGTACTGTAATTAGTACAATATATTCCCTATGTAGTCTATTTTGATGCTTAACCTTTTTATCCACATCCCAACGACTCCACCTACTGATCAGTCGGCTGCCTGACGGTTTCTTAGCCATGTCGTGTGGATGGGTCTTGGATTGATTGTGTCGCCTGTCTGCCTCTGCAGCTGAGAGTTTCGTCTCTGCAGCCGGGAATGGGCTGAAGACACTGGTCCCGCTATGAACCTGGACCGTGCCTTGAGTCCTGGCTCGGCGACAGGTGCGATGACCGTGGTCTCCCCGGCTGTGGTCAATCCAATCCCAGCAGCTGGGTACGATCTCGCTGCCATCCGGCACCTTCAGGCGGAGGCGTCTGCGGGGCTCAGCGACAGTGCAGCCGCGGAGGGAGCAACTGTCAGCGGCCTCAGCAGCGCTGCAGATGACGGGGACAGGAGCTCTGCACCTGCCGCCTTCGTTGATGGCGTTCCTGTCACAGTGTCGGTGCAAAACGTTGACGGTCAGCAGAGGTACCTTGTCCATACGAGATGAGACTGAATGCATAACTTACAGCAGCCGACTGTTTAAGACATACGGACTCTTCACTTATTTATAATGTATGCTGAGTAAATGCAGTACAATACTTATTTTAGGCCACATTTAGGGATTCCCTGCAAGTATGTTTGACCCGAGGAACACTTTCTCAGTTGCTCACCCAAATTACAGGGGCTTAATTTTAAAGTATTACAAGTTCATAAAGAAATCTAGGATGTTTCCCACTGTAGTGGCTGAGAATATACTGTGATGCTGTAATTTTCCTAATGGACTACAGTACTTTGCTGGTTGCCATGGAAATGTCGCACCTAAATCACAGTATTTGCGATCTGCCCTCTGTTGGCAGAGAGAAATGCCCAGGCTTCCTTTTCATGTTTCTTGCTCTTTTTGTTGTTGTTGTATCCCACGATTGATATTTCCTAAATTGCGTTGTAGAAGTTTTTTTTTAATACTTCCTTTTATTTTTAACTGTAGTTATTTTATTCTTAAGCTTTGGTTTGACATTTGTTTATCTTTCAGGATAGTCTGTGTGGCGACAGATTCCAGTGGCAGCACTGTGTCATACGTAGGGCAGCTCAACTCGGAGGCAAATCTTGAACTCCAGGCACAGGGTGAGGAATTTCAGTAGCTTTTAATTTGACCTGTTTTTTGCCATAATAGTGAACTTCTGCCTTCAGTTCTAGCAGCAATCACGAGTTAATCAACTTTAACGCAGTAAGGTTAAAGTGCTACTACTTATTTTTATGGGGGCAGATGCACTTTTTGAGGTTTATTTTTAGTATTACTTGTATAACCACAACGGTTTAGATTTATGCCCAACAGTTGTAGCTGTCATTTTAGCACGTTTCACATCATTGGCATAGGCAGTTTTGATATTTTCATTTTGCTTATTCTGACTACAGTACTGGGCTGTATTGGTGCAAGATGATCAGCTGCTTTTTTTCTGTTGTTAAGACATTTTTTATATTTCATAAACAGCCGTGCAATGCGTGTGCCCTAATGGGTTGTGGGTATAGATTTTGCACAGCAAGCACAAAGCTAGAATCTGCATGAGCAAAGGCAGCTGTGACATCAGATAGCAAAAAGCCATATTATTTATAAACACAGGTATAGCAGTGTTTACTAAATAAATTATTACATGGATAGTAAGTGTTGCAGATTATTGATAAAAAATACAGTGTAATAATAAAAGTTAGTGTTCACCTGTAGTCAAGCTATATGTCTATTTACTGTTGCACACAATAAAAATGGTTTGCACTGCGACTATAATTGTGCAGCTTTGTGTAGTGCTACAGCCCTTTAAATATAAGGAACTTCTATTTGAGCAATATGATACACTCTAAAACTATGATTTTATTTCCTTTTTGATCCAACTAGTGTTAGATCTATTTATAGAATTCTACAGGGTCTTCTAAGCTTGTATATAGAATCTTGTTCAAGATATCTGTCTGGGATTGTTGAAGTAAACACTGTATTTTAGTTTTAGTGTGATGTCAGATTAGAAGGAACTTTTGGGTATGGAAGGAAAAAAATATATCAAAACCTACAAACAAAATGATTTATGTCTCATTAAGTTAAGCCAGAGGGCTCCTAAGTAGGTTATTCAGAGTCCTCTAGGCTGGGGTGTGTTGCTTTGAGTCAGGTAATGGAGTTATGGCTCGGACTCAAGGTAAAATAGGCAGATTACTACTCAGTACCTTTCTGTGGGCAGTCATCTGCATGAATGACTCCAGCTGACCTCTGTCCCATCAGTCCAACTCCACTCCAGAATTAATCTGGCTATAATACAGACACCAGTCCATCACAGGGAATCATACAAGCATACTGTGGGAAATGTCGGGAAAAAAATTCCCTAACAGAGAAAACCCATGCAGACATGGGGACAATATGCACATGGAAGAGCCTCCATTCTGGAATCGACCCTAGTACACAGGATCTATGAGTCAAGATGTCAGCATGGCTTCTGATAGATTATATATTGGTATTAATGTTGAGAAAAGCAGATTTTAAATCTTAGAGTTTGGCCCATTTTATTCAAGGATTAATTCACATTCTCATCCATCATTGTTTTCCTTGTTGTGCTTGTTAATCTAACTTCTGTTGCGCAGAGGAATAGTGAGATCCTGACTGTAATATAATTGTGTTGACACAGGGCTGACACAGAATTGTATGTATTTCATAATTAGTGCCTTCTCAGCCTCTTACATCAGAGGATGGCATGACCCTCTTGTCCTCTGGAGGTCAGCTGGTTCCCATCCACCCTTTAATGTCAGCACTGCAGCCCCTGCACAATATCATCCTTGACGAACAGCAAGAAGCAAAGGATCCTGACACTGAGGAGCCAAAGTCCAAAGTATGGCTTTTAATATATACTGCATAATCTTTCCTGTCTGGGGTTCATTCAGGTAATAAAAGTTAAATTGTACATCCTCCCAGGTCAGAACTCACGAACTTGTAAAACAATAATGGCTGTGTTAAGAGGAAAAAGGAGATCACTTGCATTTGTGATATTTTCAGAAAGGATTTAAAAAAAATGTTTTTTTTTTAGTAATGAAAAGTATAGTGTTAGAAGCGAATTGACACCCATAGCCAGATAGGCCTATGATGGCTGAAAAGTTAAAGGGACATCTGGAGTCAAAAAATAAATGCCAAAAATGCAAAACACTCTAAAATATAAAAAGCAATGTAAAAGGCACAAAAAGGTCACTTCAGCAAATATTGCTATCACCCTTTGGCAACACCTACCTGAATGGTAAATCAAGCATGTTAACTTTACAATCACTCCTTCAAAGAAATATAAATTTCACCACTTCTGGCTGAAGTTGATCCAAAATGTGGAGGAAGAGTACAGAGGAAGTGTGTGCACGAAGTTTTTCCAATGATTTGGCCCCTTCTAACTAGATCTGTGATGATATCTAATAGGGGTCTGCCATTGGGCAGAGATAGAGAAGCACATGGAGCACTGTGTGTGATAGACTAATACGGCAATATCACCAATATCACCAGTATCACGTGGGGCTGCCTTGTGTGTGGGCTATTCTGGCTTTAGACAGGGTGCGATACAGTAGCCACCCAGGCCAAACAATTGTGCCATGGGCAGAGACACTCCTGTCCTCATGTTTGAGATAAGAAGGCAATAGTGAAGAAAACGTCATAATACAGTACTTCATAAACTGGATTTGCTTTGATTTTCTAATTTGAATTTCATGAATAAAAACTAAATTTATTCAGTTTAAACCCCTGAATATTTCAGTAATATAGGCAACGTAGATCAATCGGTAAAGCACCCATACTCTTTGGGTGGAGTGGTGGCACTGTGGCTAAGGATTTGCGCCTGTGGCTGGAAGGTTGCTGATTCAAACCCCGCGGTCGGCAGAGGAATCCTACTCTGTTGGGTCCCTGAGCAAGGCCCTTAACCCCAACTGCTCCAGGGGCGCCATAAAAATGGCTGACCCCGTGCTCTGACCCCAAGCTTCTCTCCCTGTCTGTGTCTCATGGAGAGCAAGCTGGGGTATGTGAAAAAGACAATTCCTAATGCAAGAAATTGTATATGGCCAATAAAGTGATCTTATCTTATCTTTGTTCTCACAAACCAGACTCTGTCTATCTTGCCTGTGAATGTCTTGTCTTATCTTCATCCTCAGAAGAGGAAAGGAGGCTGGCCAAAGGGAAAGAAGAGAAAACCCCCAAAGGAATATCCAGCCCCACGGGCACCGACCACGGGGTAAGAATTCCTAAACGCAGGATACACGAGGTGCTCTGATTAATAATTAATGATCAGGTACTTTTAAAAAGTAATCCCTCACAGTTACAAATTACTTGTGTAGGACATTACGTTTTAGAATTACAGTAACAAGTAGTTGGGGAAAAAAATCTAAAAAGTCATAATTTGCAGTTATCTATGTACTGTAGTTAATGTGTAAAATAATACATTAATACAATATATTATGTCTTACAGTAATTTCCCTGTACCTTCTTATTGATTTAAAAAGTAATTCTTTACACAAGTATCATGTAGCTGTAATGGATTTTTTTAAATGTAACCTTTTCTGTTAGAACTGTAGGTTTGATTTCACTCAATTGTATCCTTTGATTTCACATAGCAGTCACAGTGTGGTGAAAAAGCAAGTATGTCCCCTTAAGATTAAATAAATAATGACAAAGTTTAATATTTGTGTGTTATGTGTCAAATGAGGTTAGTTTTAATTACTATTAGAACTTGGTGAGGACTAGATGAAAGTCAAATTTATGTAAATCTGGAAGAAGTAAAGGTTTATTTCAATGCTGAAAAGAGAAGAAAAAAACGCACTCATCTGAAGAAGGCTCCACAGCCAAAACGTTGTGTTTCTTTTCTTCTCTTTTCAGTATGGAATAAACCTTTACTTGTTCCTTTGCAGCCTACGCATGCAGATGCATCTACCTACTTTATACAGTACCTACTTTATTTAACTACTTGTATCTAAATATGTTAATCCACAAAATCTGAAGTGGATGTACTTACTTTTTCTCCTCACTGTGTGTCAACTGTAATTAAGGAAGTAAAAGATTGTTTTTAATGTCAGTTAGCAATTGATGAATTGAAGAAAAATTAAATGGTTCGAATAAATGCCATCATTTCATTTTTGTTGTTATATATTTACATTTTTTACAATATAAGCTTTTACTTTTATAATTATGTAATAATTATAAAAGTAACTTAGAATACAAGGGCAAACCTTTGGATTTTCATATCCAGTATTTAGTTCTTTACTTGTATTGCCCATGATTTCCTCTGGGCTTTTAGGTACGTGATATTTGTCAATGAAAAGAAGGTTCAGCTGAAGATGGATCACCCTGACCTTCCCTTTACTGAGATCACTAAAATGCTGGGTGTCCAGTGGTCTCAGCTGTCCATGGAGGAGAAGCAGGCAAGTCAAATAGATGTTCCAGGATAAACTAAAATGCCTCCTGACAGCCATGTTTGTAATTGTTGTTTGGAATTTTGGTACAGCCAGCTCCTTAATTGCTATATTGATCCTGCTGATGACCAGTTGAATAAGTAAGAAGCTGGATGTAACAAAATATTAATATGGAGCATAACTGACTAGCCCCGGTGTAGATGAAGCCAATCTTGGGCATCTGCTTCACAGCCTATCGCAATATAGACCTTGGCAGTACGTGACACACTGGCAAACCTACTGTATTCTCTCATTCTGGGAAGCATTTCCTCATCATTGTGCCTTTTATGAAGAATTTTTGTACGATAGGTTAACACAGCTTTTTGCACAATTTTTTTTTCCTTATCTTGTACCTATCATTTTAAATTTTAAAAATACCCTGTATACCTACAGTATATGCAGCCCTATGTTTCTGGGTGGCATACATGAAAACTATAGAAGCAAAATGTTAAGATCACAAAGGTAAAATGTGCTTAAAACATAGCTATTGACAGAAAGGTATAAACTGTGTCATTAACTTTTACAGAGATACAACAATGCTGCTGACAGAGACAAACAGCGGTACGTTAGAGAGCTGAAGGCCTATCAGAACTCTGAAGCTTACAAGGCTTTTCTTAAAAGGAAAACCTTGAATAAAGTGAAGGATGTCTGTGGTAAGTGTTCCCACTGAAGTTATCAGGTAAAGCCTGCTCTCAGAAACACTCATGTACTGTATTTCTTTGTCTGTCCAGACCAATAATCTTTAAAAACAGTTCCTTTGTTGAGATTCGTAGTACTGAAGGAGGACTTAGTTTCAATGACTTTGAAGATGTTCTGTTTTTTCTCCACTTCCTATTATCATGATTGGTTACATACAGTCTCTGCAGGAATATGTAAGGGATAATGAGAAAAATGTACAGTTTATTTATTCATTTGGTTGTAGAAACATTAAGAAAGTTTGAAATCCATAAGATTAGAGAATACATCCATACTTTTGTTTTGTTGAATGTTTTTCATACATTAAATATACAAGCTGTTTTTACAATGGTGTGTACAGGGTAGGGTATTTCTCAAATGCTGATCTGTTGATTACTTGTAGAATTATTTTTTTCTACTTATTTTTGCCTTATGTGAGTATCAGAAATGTTTTCTGCATTCAGTCTTTGTGTGTAATGTTAGCAATCATTCTACTGAGATCTGAAACAAATACTTTTTTTTTCAGGAATTGAGTGCGTTGATTCCGAGTTTGAAAATGAAGTTTTTGCTCTGTCCCAACTGGATGTGAGTAACTTAACATATACCTGTATGTTTAAGTTAATGCCACAGTACATTTATGTTTATCAGAAGATAAAATATGCAAGGATATGCTACAATATTTTAGAAAAGAGTTGTATTTGCTGTTGAAGGTTTAAGCAAATTTTATCTGTAAGAGTTTGTATTGACCTTTTTATTACCATACAACTGTTATCTTCTCTAGAGTTTATTTTAACTATCTTTCCTTGCATTTTCTTTATCTTTTCCATTTTATCTTGAGCCAATATTAATCTCAAACCTGCTGACTGAGCCTTTAGTTATGAGATTTTATCTAACTTTAGAGAAGCACAGCACACCTTCAATATTATAAACATACTACCGTACTTGTTAGTGGTTTTCTATATTTCAAAATGTTTCTTAATCTGTTTATTCATGGACATATACTGTACATGTGTCTTCCAAGTCAAAACACACCAGATTGGCTCAAATGAGCCATATCAGGACTTTTTTGTATGATGTAATTATGTTATTATGTAATTTATTTGGGTTTTTTTGTGTTATTAGTTTTGTACAGTATATGCATCATGATTCATATTTATGCTTTTTAACATAAACAATTTATGTTGTCATTTAATTTGTCATTTAATTTCCATGTATCCAGCTTTGAAACACCTTTCCAGATACAGTTTTTTAAGAATACTTCATAGGCAGGTCAAATGCTTCAGCAAAAACAAATAAATCCTATCACACAGAACATAATAGAATACAGTGAGGCATCAACTAAATTCATATTGTGTTAAAAATGATCAGGATTGTCTAAGTCTTTTTAAAATGAGGAGAATCATTTATTTCTGCTCTTTAAAAATACCTCTTTATCCACACTCAAAGGTAAGTTATATTCAATATATACATTTGTATTTACTGTACATTTGTTCCTTTTTGTACCTGGAGGTAGGTTTTTATCACTTCAAACAATAACACTGCCGTGAATTAACCATGAGGCATAGGTGTGCAAGAAGCTTTGCTTGTTACTGTTATTTTTGTTGTCACAATAAAACCTTAAAATGTTTGCTTATAATTCCCTGGAAGTCATTCCATACAGTATACAAATAATGTGTACTGAAATTAAATTTATTGTACTAAAAATAAGCTATTTCAGACAAATTCTAAATAACAATGGTAATAAATAACAATTTAGAGCATTTACAGCACAAATGTAAGATACTATCCAGTACGTCACTGTTTAAGACTGTGGTGTTGGTGTATTGAATTATAATCAGTTCTCTGAAAGCTGTGGAATGTAGAGTTGGCCAAAATAAAAGAAGAACGAGGAAAGATGCGTTTTTGGCAAAGCACTCGTAATGGTACACAGCCCAGCCAAATATGTTAAATGGTAATCAGGTCCTTTGGCTGCAGCTCCAGACAATTAAACCAGCCTGTGACCCACAAAGGCTGTTTGCAACTGTCACTGTACTGTCATGCTGCATAAATTAGTATTCCTTATTCATTATTCTGCATCCTTTTTTGTCATTTGGGTTATTGGAATATAGACTCATCCATAACCTTCACATAGTTGGACTGCTGCCATTTTTGTGTTTCCTGAGTTGAGGACATTCTGTACAGGGATATCTGCATTAAATTATTAGGTTGTCTTGGACACTGCCTGCAATCTGGGGTGTCTTATATCTACAGTGTCTTGCAAAATTATATTAACCCCTTCTCAATAATGTCATATTTTTTTTTATTACAAATAGTACAGAATATACATATTTTTAAAGTTAATTTTTAAGTGACTGAAGTCCCATCCAGGGCTTAGCACTTATTGCTTGCTAAGATAGGCTCTCCCACAATGCCAAATTAGATGGAGCAGTTAGAAAATGGATTGATGGATGGATATTTCTAAGTAAACGTTGAAAACTTCAACAATTTTATGCATGAGCATTAGCATAACACATTAGCAAAAAAAAAAGAAAAATCCCAAATTAAAATGTGTCGGTTGCATATTTACACCCCTGAGTCAATACTTGTTTGTGAACTAGCTTATTTGTCAGCAATTACAGCTGCAAGTCTTTGTGGATACCTTTTTAAGAAGTTTCAAGTCAGGACTTAAACTAGACCAACAGACATTCACATGTAGCTTTGGCCTTGTGTTTTGGGTTATTGTCCTCGTAAAAGGGGAATTTTCTTCCCAATTTTTAGGTCTTCAGCAGACTGAAGCAGCTTTTCCTCTAAGGTTTGCCTTTGCTTTTCTCCATTCATTTTCCCCTCAATCTTGACCAGCTTCCCAATCCATGCTTAATAAGAAGCAGCCCCATATAATGATATATTGATATATATGATATATATAATGATATATGGCCAACACCATGTTTGACCATATTGATGGTGTTGACAATCCACAGTGTTGGGTTTGTGACAGACTTAATACTTTGCATTTAGACAAAATTTCCAACCTTGTCTAGTCTGACCAAGGAACGTTTTGCCACATGTTTGCAGTATCACTTATTTGCAGTGTTGTAAACTCCATGGATCATGCAGGATCTTAAGAGACCGGTGTATTAATTCTGAAATCATGTGAACCACTGAAAATAGGTAGAGGCCACTGAAATAATTGTGACTTCTAATTTTGTACACCTGAACCAATTCATTATTCATAAACAATATTTTCAACGAATACGAATTATAACGCTTATAACGAATACTTAAACAATCGGCATATTTTGGTTTTGGATTTTTCTCTGCAGTTTCTGCTGACATGTAACTTCTTTCACCAATAAAAGTGTTAAGAGTTCAAGCATTCAAGTTTTAATTAAAAATACTAATTTAAAAAGGCGTATGCATCATTTGTATTTCAACGGAATGGGATATCATTGAATGGGGGTGAATATTTTTGTAAGATGCAGTATGATGGCAGAGGTCCGCCTCTCATTAGGTGACTAGTGAGGCCTAAATACACAGACAAACCATGATGTAAAGAAAAATGCAGTGCAAGTGGTTTACTTCCATCACAAAACAGACTCCTACACCTTTTTATACTTACCCATGCTAATTGAAACCCAAGTGAGAATGTGATTCTCACCTGTCACCAATTATCTAATTACCTAATTCACCACACGTACAGTAAATCAATACACAAGCGGCAGACTTCCGAAGCAGGTCAGCTTGAACTAATATAACACTACTGCTGGCCTGCCATGAATGGGATTATTCCCATCTCTCTGCTCACATCGTAACCCCAAGATCACCTGTACCCAGACATCTTATGATGACTTCTACATGTTATCAGGGAATGTACTGTATACTGTATATGGGGAAAAAAAACTTTGTAAGAAAAAGTCTTGAGAAAAGGCTGAGTTTTTCCATGGTATACTGTACGTATATGATTATTCTGTGAGGAGAAAAAAAAGCTAAATAATTCTTACAGGATCTAAAACATCTTTTCTCTTTACTTTGTGGTTTGGAAGAAGCTTTTTGTGCATCATTAATATTCATTAATAGTGGACTCCACAATATTAATCTGCCGACTTCCATCTTGCTGGAAAAGATGATTTTCAAAATCTCCATTTCTTTTTAAATTCAAATTCAATTCCTTTCTCATGTAAACAGGGGGACGAGAACGGTGACTTGTTCTGTAGGACCTGTAATCAGTACTTCAGCTCTCTTCATAACAAGAAGGAGCACCTCATGGGGAAGCAGCACCTGCAGAACCTGACAGGTGACCATGTTTGTCCTTGCTGTCAGCAGTATTTAACTTTGGCGGAAAGTACTTGAACCTGCTTGTGCTGTTGATTACTCAGCAATTATCCACTACAAGTGTTTTTGACATGAACTGCACTTTTTTAAATAGTTGCATTCACTGGTGTCTTTCTTTTGTCTGTAGCTTCATTGTCTCAAATTTCAAATCCAGTCCTTGATGGTGAATTCAGGTCTGTCAAGGGCTTCTACATCCAGAAAGCTATCGTTGAATTATGAGTTAGGAATATACAATTTGTCAATGACGTAGTCCGATTGCAATGGTGATATCAACATAGTACACGGTGATATCCGTGTTCTTCACCCTAAATCTCTTCGCTTCATAAATGTGGTTGTACTGCACATACAGTATGCGTACACTGCGTATACTGTACAGTAGCTTCACAAGACCATACCGTTTTAACCCTGAAGAAATATGTCATGATAGAAATCCCATGTCATTAAGTTACAAAAATGTTCACAGAAAATTTAGTCTAGCATTACTGTAAAATAGACTGCATTATAATGATAATTATTACATAAAGATAATAGATTTTGAAGCCAATAGAAGACACAATTGCACTTTTAACAAGTATGTGCACTTTAAACAAATATGCACATTTATTTCTTATCCTGCTTGAATAAAAAGAATTAATATGACCACTATGGGGCTGAGCGCTGGCACTGTGGCTAAGGATCTGTGCCTGTGGCTGGAAGGTTGCC